TGAAAGATTGCAAAGGATTTTTATTTCAGTGCCGGTTGATCTTCCAGAATTCTCCAGGCTGTTTTTCTACAGATCACAAGAAAATAACGTTCGTTCTTTCTCAATTAACAGGAAGAGCCTTGGAATGGGCTCAGGCAAGGTTTGCCTCTGACGACAGTTTAAATTACCCTTTTTCTGATTTCATCACTGAATTTACCCAGGTTTTTAACCAAGAAACTGACCAAACTATTGATTCCAGAGCTCTTTTCAGCCTCAAACAGGGAAATTCATCTGTGGCAGATTTTTCGATTAACTTCCGGGTTAAGGCGGCAGCTTCCGGATGGAATCAAAGCGCCTTAAAGGGAGCATTCTTCATGGCATTAAATGAACAGATTAAAGATGAACTAGCAACCCTCGACGAACCTGCTTCCCTCGAAGATTTAATCCGCCTCTCCATCAGACTTGATAATAGGATTCGAGCCAGAAACAGTTCTAAGAAGCAGAATAATTTCTCTCCTGCCTCTCTTAACGTGACTGTGTGTTCTCCTTCTACAGAGCAGATGCCCACTCAGAGGTCTAAGCCCCAGTCTCTTTCTTTGCCTGTTCAAGCCTCTCATTCGGGAGAAAGGGACTCCGAACCCATGCAGGTGGGACACACTAGGCTCACTCCTGAGGAGAGACAGAGGCGGTTCCTAAGTAAACTATGTTTCTACTGCGGTGAGAGTGGACACTTTATCGCCTCCTGCCCGGCAAGATCAAAAGCCGGGGCCCGCCAGTGGATCTGAGGAGTCTGGCGGGCCAATTAAACTCAACAAAATCTCCTCGTTTGATGCTTCCAGCCACCCTGTTCTGTGATAACCAGAGTCTTTCCTTTTCCGCCTTCATCGACTCAGGCTGTGCGTGTAATTTAATAGACTCTAACCTCGTCCAGCAACTTCACATAAAGACCGTTCCCCTCTCCCAGCCTCTCAGTGTTTCAGCCATCGACGGAAAAAGACTCCACCGTGTAACCCATCAAACCCAGCCCCTCGAGCTACTTCTATCAGGTAACCACCGAGAGACAATAACCTTCTTTGTTTTTCCCTCTGCATGTTCCCCATTGGTCCTCGGGTTTGAGTGGTTGGAGAAGCATAATCCTCACATTAATTGGACTAAACGTCTCCTGGAATCATGGTCCACTACGTGCCACGAAACATGCCTTCGTTCAGCTGCCCCTATGGTGGGGTCTCCTAGTGGTGGGGGGGAGATGGACTCTCCTGACCTTTCTTCAGTTCCCTCTGAGTATCACGACTTAGCCCCTGTCTTCAGTAAGGTCAGTGCTACGTCCCTACCTCCACACAGACCATATGATTGCGCCATTGAGCTTTTACCTGGCGCTCCTCTTCCTAGCAGCAGACTGTATAACATTTCCAAGCCTGAAAGAGAAACTATGGAGAAATACATCAATGAATCATTAGCTGCTGGAATTATTCGTCCTTCTTCCTCTCCGCTGGGTGCAGGGTTCTTCTTCGTGGGCAAGAAGGATGGTTCCCTGAGGCCATGCATTGATTATCGGGGTTTAAACCAGATCACAATTAAAAATAAATACCCATTGCCTCTTCTTGCTTCTGCTTTTGAACCTGTGCAGGGAGCTACAGTGTTTACTAAGTTGGACTTAAGAAACGCTTATCATCTCCTGAGGATACGAGAGGGCGATGAATGGAAGACTGCCTTTAAGACTCCTTTGGGTCAATTCGAATATCTGGTAATGCCCTTTGGTTTAACCAATGCTCCTGCCTGTTTTCAGGCCCTAGTAAACGATGTTCTCAGAGATTTCCTCAACGTGTTTGTTTTTGTGTACATTGATGACATTCTCATTTATTCCAAGGACCTCAATGAACACAAGAGACATGTTCGCCTTGTCTTACAGAGACTACTGGAGAATAAGCTGTTCGTGAAAGCCGAGAAGTGCGAATTCCATCAACCGTCAGTCACCTTTTTGGGGTTTGTGCTCGAGGGCGGTCAGGTAAAACCTTCTGAGGATAAGATCAAAGCTGTTTTAGACTGGCCAGTCCCTGAGAACCGAAAACAGCTACAGAGGTTTCTAGGATTCGCTAACTTCTATCGACGTTTCATAAGAAACTACAGTCAAACCGCCCTTCCATTAACCTCTCTCACCTCAATCAAACGAACTTTTCAGTGGACCCCTGAGGCTCAAGCAGCATTTGAAAAACTAAAATCATTGTTTTCCAGAGCTCCTGTTCTCATCCAACCTGATCCAGCAAAACAGTTCATCCTAGAGGTGGATGCTTCTGACTCCGGAGTTGGAGCAGTTCTCTCCCAGAGGCTCGATTCTGATCAAAAGATACACCCCTGTGCTTTCTTCTCCCGTAGGCTTTCCTCAGCTGAACAGAATTATGACGTGGGCGACCGTGAGCTCCTGGCAATTAAGCTGGCGTTGGAGGAATGGAGGCATTGGCTGGAGGGAGCTGAGCATCCAGTTCTTGTGTGGACAGACCACAAGAATCTGGCTCACATCCAGTCAACTAAACAGGCAAATCCTCGCCAATCCAGGTGGTCAATCTTCTTCTCACGTTTCAACCTTATCATTTCCTACAGACCCGGATCCAAGAACGTGAAGCCCGATTCTCTCTCTCGTCTCTACTCTGTGGATCATCCTGAGACACCTGAACCCATCCTCCCAGCTTCATGTACCATTGGAGTGGTCAACTGGGAGATATCGGACCTCATCAACTCGGCCCTAGCCACTGAACCAGACCCAGGTACCGGTCCTCCTAACCGCACATATGTTCCATCCTCAGTCAGGTCCCGTCTCATCCAGTGGATGCACGCCGCCAAATTCACCGCTCATCCAGGTGTGAGTAGGACTATAGCTCTCATCTCCAGGCGCTTCTGGTGGCCCAAACTCCACAGAGACGTTAAGGAGTATGTGTTGGCTTGCCCCACCTGTGCCCGCAACAAAGCCTCACACCAACCTCCTTCTGGCCTGCTTCAACCACTACCTGTTCCCTCGCGTCCATGGTCCCATATTGCTATAGATTTTGTCACCGGCCTCCCAGTCTCCCGAGGTATGTCCACTATTCTAACCATTGTTGATCGTTTCTCGAAGTCCTGCCATCTGGTTCCCCTCAGGAAACTTCCCACGGCCTTCCAGACTGCTCAGCTATTAATAAAACATGTTTTCCGGCTTCATGGCATCCCCCAGGAGATCCTATCGGACAGAGGTCCACAATTCATCTCGCAGGTATGGAAGGCCTTCTGTTCTGCTCTCGGCTGCAAACCATCTCTCACTTCAGGTTACCATCCTCAATCAAACGGCCAGACAGAACGCATGAACCAGCAACTGGAATCCACCCTCCGCTGTCTCACTTCCAACAACCCTGTGGATTGGAGTCAATACCTCCCGTGGATAGAATATGCCCATAACTCTCTCCGTTCTGCATCCACTGGACAGTCCCCGTTCCAGGTCAGTCTCGGTTACCAACCACCTCTTTTCCCTGCAGATGAGAGAGAGATATCGGTGCTGTCCGTTAACCATCACATCCGTCGCTGCCAGAGGATATGGAGGGAAACAATCGCTACACTCAACCAGTCAACCGTGTCAGTCAAGCGTTTCGCTGACGCTAAGAGACGCCCCGCCCCTGAGTATTCTGTGGGCCAAGAAGTTTGGCTCTCCACTCGAGACATCCCCCTCAAGGGCTGTTTCCTCGAGCCCTCTGTGCCCACCGTCCGACTCCCCACCACCCGCTCTGGAGGTCGATGGCCATCCGGCCTTCACGGTGCGCCGCATCGTAGACTCCCGTCGACGAGGTCGCGGATGGCAGTACCTCGTCGACTGGGAGGGCTACGGGCCTGAAGATCGTCAGTGGGTCCCAGGCTCGTACATCCTCGATCCTACACTCATAGAGGAGTACGAGCGTTCCTGTCCGTCCACTTCCTCCGGACCGCCAAGGGGCGGTCGTTGAGGGGGGGTACTGTTGGGAGCTGGAGAAAATCCCATCTTTCTCCAGCAGAGTCCGCCATGGATCCTCTGAGGGAGCCTCCTGCACAGGTGCAGCCCATCAAGACCATCAGAGGATCCACTACTTAAGCTGTCTTCAGACCTTACCTCAACGCCGCAGTGTTGTTCCAGTTGGTCAGCGCTAAAGCCTTGCTCCTTGTGAATCTCCATGACCTTGAATCCAGATAGGATTCTAACTTCTCTCTCTGTGTTCCCAGGAAACCCGAGTCTCCTCTGTGAAAGCTCTTGGAGAGCTAACCTGCCGAGCCGACCCTCTGAGCCAAACCCTGAAGACTTTCTGAGAAATCCCAAGCAGCTCTGGACTAGAGCTGGAACAACCAAACTAAGGTCTGTTCAAGCTAGACGTGAGACGCTGAAGCAGCTACGGACTCTGCTGATAAACTCTTCTCCAGAACCAACAGAAACTCCCCCAAGGAGAATTACTCAAGAACCCTCAAGGTACTATCTGAGCTCACTTGTAAACCAAACCCTGCCAGCAGTTCATAACAGCTCTGTCTCTCACGCAGACTCCAGTGAAACCAGGACCCAGGCCCGAACCAGATCCCAGTTCATATAGTGTTGTGCTTAATAAACTGTTGAACTTTTATCCTCGTGTCCGCCTTGTGGTGTTCTGCATAACTGGGTCTCCATTTGAGAACCCATCATGACAAATTCAATCTAATTGGATGGGAATCTACGTTGCATTTGACGCACCACTACAAGATGAATCGACAGATTCGGCGGTATTCATTGGCGGCAAATCATTGCAGCTTGGTGGCGGTGGCGTTAGCATAGTAGCATGGACGACGAGATGATTGAAAATGAACACAACGGAGATCTAGTCCTATTGGCAGACATCCATTTAAAATGTAGGCAACGGCATGAAAAAAGTGGTTTCTACTTTTACTTTTATACTTTAAGTAAATTTACAAGCCTGTACTTTGTTACTTTTACTTGAGTAAAGAAGTTTACTCAGTACTTCCACTTTTACCAGAGTATTTTTTAACACAAGTATCAATAACATTGGAAGGTATGTGTTTCCATCTTTGCTGGAAGCTAATATCAAATTATTTTGACTGATTCTACAAGAACAGCAACAATACAGAGTTAAACAGGATAACCAGGAAATTTAAATCAGTTTATCTTTTAGGCATTGCTTTGGACATTGAAATAAATTATATACAAAAATAATACTTAAAGGTATAGTGGACAATCCTCTCCTACATGCCAGTTTTGGTGGCATGCTCGTTTCTCACTGCGTATACTAACTTCTAGTGTTTTTGTATCAAGTGAGCTTCGGTTTCTGCCATTCATTGTGTCTCTATTACTCTCACTGCATGCGGTTGATGATTAAAATATGCTCTGGGACTTGCTGTTGCCACAGCAACACATTAGGTCCAAATGCTCTTCCTGATGCAACCGTGAATACGCCACTTCATTTCCGTCAAAGACTGTAAACTTGTCACCATGGAGACATTCAATACAACCAGAATATATTTAGGCGATGCTTTCTAGCATTGGCAGAAGAGAAGGTACAGATGTGCAGTTATCCTGAAACTAACTGCTATTTCTTAGCTTAATTCCAGATAGTTCATTATAACTTTAATAAAGAAACAAAATATCAAACTTTAGTAACCCAAACCAACAGAAGACAGGAACATTAAAATTACAAATAGATAAATAAATCTATCTTCATTCTAATTGTAGTTGTTTTCATCTTATTCTTATCCAGAGATGGTTACTATTTCTATGTGATTTAAACAGATTTTCTTTCATGGGAGACATGCTCTTTAACTTTCTTTGCATCTATAACAGTGAATTTAGTTCAAATATCGGTGATTCTTGTAGACACGTCATCGTCGTTGGACAATCACGTCATACTCTGGCGATGTATCAAGTTTTTGCAGAGACACATAAGTTGGATCAACTTCAGCGGGTTTTATCTTTCTTCTTGAGTTCCTTCAAAGAAAGATTTTGTCAAAAATGTACAACCTATATTTTTGGACAGTAAATATACAACAAGACTTACCAAAGGACCAAAATTTGGATCATACACAAAACATTTACACCAAGTGAAACACCAGCAACGACCCAGGGAAGCGCTCCATAGGCAGAATCACAATGATTCACAGGGTTAACTGTAAAATTACAGAAACACTGGTGAATTGAAATGAATTGCAATTAAGAATATCAAGATTTAAACTGCACTTTAAAAAAAGACAATTTATCTATTGTATTTTATTTCTGAAAATGTTATAAGAAGTTATTTTAACATAGACTTCTTCTGTCAGTTAATGTTTCTGATATGTTGCTGTACAAATGTAGCGTCCAGTTCCTTCTGCAGTTACGTTAATGCTGGAAAAAGAGAAATGTCCACTTCTTTTTCTCTTGTAGCTAGATTAATATGCTGTTATCCTCTGTCCTTAAAATACAGTCCTGAAGATCCAGGGACATTGTCCAAAATCAGCTCAGACTATCTTGATCCCTGTGGTTCTATGATACAGTATATGATAGGTTTTCTAATATCTGGGGACATAGTTTGTTCAATAAGATAACATTTATGTGGCTAAATAAAGTTTAAGAGGTAATTTGTGTTGAATTCAAATTTACCCAATTGCATAACATTTCCTTAGGAACATTGTGTGACACAACAGTTCTACAAACATTTCACTGTTACATTAACTTCCTCCTTCAGGGATGTTCAGATGTTTTGCTGTGCTGAAATCAAGTCCAGCCTCCTCTGATTCGCCCTGATGCTACTAGGAAATGTTTAATATTTAACATGCTTTAAATGTTGACTTTATCAAAACATCTAAATTTGAGTAAAAGTAAGTAAGTTAAGGTTATTTATATAGCACTTTTTACAGACATTTATGTCACCAAGTGCTTCACAAACTTGCAGAATTAAAAGATAAAACAGAACAAAACATCATAATAAAATAATAATAGTCATAAGAAAATGGTTGATGCACTGGAGTTGTTAAAAAGCTTTGCAATAGAAATAGGTTTTGAGCTTGCTCTTAAAAGCATCCACAGAATCAAAGGGGTAAAAGGTCACTCAAATAATCATCAGGAGCTTTTGCCACCACCTCGGCCTTATCAGGGTTGAACTGCAGGAAGTAAGCGCCAATCCAATTTTTGAATCTCAGTTGTCATACATTCTATTATGATATGTTTTCTTTGTGAGTGAATGTGCTCAATGTAAAACTCCTCATGTAGCATAGTTTTAGCTGTACTTTGTAAATATATGGAGAAAAAAAGTCTATAATGTATAAGCTATGAAATTATATTTGGCTATCCTATTATAAATCAAAGCATTTGAAAAAGGGAAAGATTACTTTATTTGAGAAAGTAATGTTATCTGCAGCTGTAATTTGAGGAAACACTTCATGTCCCAGTTATTTTTATTTGATCCTCTTCTGTGAGATGAATACTATAAATTACTTGACATTCAAGCACCAATATAAATAGGTGCATTTTCTGGGCAAATGTTTCAAGATGTAATTATAAAAATCTTTAATAAGATTTTTTGAATAAGGTACTTACAGTTTACATTAAGTGTTGCAGTCTCCTCTGTGGTTTTTCCTCCTATGAAACTGACCTTACAGGTTATATCGGTGTTGTGGTTTTCAACTGAAGGTTTAAAGGTCAGAGTTGAGCTGTGACTCTGTGCGACAGCAGTCAGATTCTCAGTTGTTGAAGCAGTAATGTTTCCTGGGATGTGAGAGCTGTTCTCTGCTTTTCTTCTCCACATCCAAGTGAATTTAGGAGGAGACCCAGAGCAGAAACCAGGAGCAGTGCAGGTCAGAGTGACCTGCTGTCCATCAGTCAGAGGAGGAATCTTTAATTCTGCCTTTTGGTTAAGATCTGATGGAAACACAGTTCATTGTTGAAATCCTCCAAAAAATGCATACTGCATGCAAAAGCTATGCATCTTATTTGCAAAAATCTAGCATTGCTTTGATAGATAATTATTCTGTGAAAGTCTAATAATATATTGTCAAACATTAGAGCATTCTTATAGCTTAGTAGCTTCACACATAAGAGGAGGTGCACCCAAAGAGAGATGCCATGTTGTGTCGGCATTTTGGAGCCGAAAGAGGACAAACTTGTGGGCCTTACTGTACATGTTTTACCTTAATCTAAAAATGTCTTGTTGGTTGCCGAATAGTTAAAAACAAGCAAAAACAACTGTAAATCTTTCTACTTCACTTTCTGTTGCAATGGAGGAACATCCATACTTTATTTTGAGAAGAAGAAACAAATCAAAAAAGAAAAAGTAGGAGTGGACTTTAAAACGGACACTGTGGTTGCAGACTTTCCGCTGGACAGGTGAGGTAATTCAACATAACAGTGAAGTTTATTTTGTCCTTATGTTAGAAACAAGTTAGAGACAGCTAGTTCGTTAGCATACACTGAATGAGCTCTTATGTTACAGTTGTTAGCTGCTGTTAAGATGTCATTCAATGGCTTTCTAAAGGCCTTGCATGCCTAAAGGGGAGGCAAGTCTGTCATTTGTAATTCATTCAGAGCACTATTAGATGCAGATAAATCTTACATAATAAATCTGACTGGAAAGATTTAATAATTGTGTTGTGCCATATGCCATGATCATGGTTTTGGACATTGGGAACCAGTGTCCATATTTTATCTTGACATGATGACCAGAGAAGAGGGCGCAGAGTTGGTGAATAACAGCTGGGGGACCTCTGCGGCCCCCCCCTTTCAGCCAAAGCAGTCAGAGGCAAGTCACATGACAACCCACAGAGGTGTGACTTCCCAGCCCCCTCTCTGTGAGGACAACAAAACCACAGAGGACACAGGATTCTTTCTCTCTTTGCCTCCTCTACCTTGCCCACGAAGCTGGGATCCACTGCGGCAGGATCTTCAGCAAGAATGGAGATCTGGGCTCAATAGGACCCAGATCTTCAGAATCATCAAAGATAAGTCATCATGGACCTTTCAGAACCAAACTGCTGCAAAGCAGACCTTTTGCAACACATTTCTCTCGAGTTTCAGAACTTATAGAGCCAGACTGAATGAGAAGCCTGCCTTGATGAGCCACTGAAACAAAGAGGACCCTTGCTGTGTGCCACTAAGACATAGAGAGTCTGCCTTGCTGTTGGCCTGACTGCTGAGCTGTTACTGGATTAAACTCGAGCCTTCCAAATGGAAATGGACAAAAAGGTTTGCAGGACCGGCATGATTACTGACAGAACAAACAATATGTCTTTTGATGATGTTGATCATTTCATGTGTTTACTGATAAGTAACAACAAAGCTAACAGGATAGACCACATGCTACGCAATGCTACAGGAATATGTTGTGAGCTATTGTTGAAGTTTGGACATGCTTCCTTTCACTAAGGGTTTAAACACTGATATAACATTAGTGTTCATGTGTTCCTCATATGCTCATTACAAGTCGATTACCAGGTATTACCAAGAGTCATGTAGTGGAATCCTGAAGTCTGTAGTGGAATCCTGAATAATTTGACTAAAGGTTTTTGGGTCTTGAATAAGCAAATGATTTAATAAATCATTAGTTGGCCAAATAAAGTTTTATACACCTCATGGATTTGCATTGTGAATTGGTCTGAAAACATTCCAATTTCTTTAAATTAGTAAAAAGCGAATTTGATCATATCCCAAATTCTTCCAGATAAACTTTGGTTTCAAACACAGAATCAATCTTAAACTGTAATATGCTTTTCAACCATCTTCCCCTTCCTCTTTGTACATAGTAGTTTAGATTAGTTGAGTTTCACTAGTCTTTAGTGAAGAGTTTTAAACTGAAACATGTTTGACTTGAAGCTGAATGATTTTTGTTAATAAACTCTTATATTCTGAACAGAAGTTGAGGTGAATTTATTCCATGTATATGCAGAATTAACTGTTTGACCATGATTGTTGCTCGAATCACCTCTTTCATTTATTGTTCTAACACACAACTAGTGTTCATACACAAAATATATAACAAATAATATCTGATTAAATAAGATATTTACCACCCCTACCGGGGAGGGCAATAGACATCTTCAAGTATCAGAAATGTAAATACCCAGCTGGCTGGGAATTTAATTGAATATAAATCCACAACATTAATGTGGCATCCAACCCAGATGAGCATTGAACATAAAATCACAACAACTGTAGATGTTTTTTATATTAAAAAACAAAAGGAAAGGTTAGTTCCGACAATTATCTACAATTACAAATATCTAGAGGTAAAAAAAAATATCAACAATAACGTTTTTCTTTACATCTAGACATCTGATCATGCAAACCTGTGCTGTTTCTTACCTGTTACAGAGAGTAGTAGTTTTGCAACAGTAAATGTAAATTTATCTTTTTCTCCTTCTCCTTCAACTCTGAGCTGATAATATCCAGAATCAGACACTCTGAGATCATTTATTATGATGCTGCAGTTCTTCTGAGTCACATCAGGTTCCAGCAGTGATACTCGACCTTTGAACCCAGACTGAACGTTTGAACTCCTCTTGTTAGAATTAAAGACAGTGTCAGAAACTCTACATATTTCCTTGTGGTATTCACATTTATACCAAATAATGTATTTGGGTTCAAAGCGAGATGTGAAAGAGCATGGTATCACAGCACAGAGTCCAGCCTCTGCTGTTATGTTTTCAAAATTAACACAGTAACCTAGATGTTGACAGTATTGTTCTCCCCATCCTAATGCACCTGTTGATAAACAAGAAAAGTACTAAGTTAGTGAGCTTTTAAAAAGCTCTTTTTTCAGTCAATATCTACACAAAAAGGTGAATATATAATGTTATTGTTGTTAGAGAGGTGGCAGCCTAGTGGATAGGAATCCTGAGGTTCTGAGTTCGAGCCCCACTCCCACAGTCCGCCAGTCTGGCTCTCTGAGCAAGACCCTTAAAGCCACACTGGGCACCCTGTGATGGCAGCCCACTACTCCCCAAGAGAATAGGTTAAATGCAGAGGTAAATTTCTCCAATGTGAGATCAATAAAGTTCAGTTATTATTATTGTTAGGATCACTAAATACAAAAGCAAATGACACATTACCTTTGTTAGTAGAGAGAGAAACTGTTAACCAGATGAAAACCAACATCCTGATTTGATGTATGAAACATCCACTTCATTTCCAACAGGGAGGAAACTGGTGCAGAAGTCACCGAGAAATTCTGGATCAGAGCAATGTTCAGACCCGACATCATAAAATACAATACAAGATTTTCATCCTGTACACACATCATGAAAAATATAGACAGACCTGACTTTCAACTAGATGTGACTTTAGATTTTTTCAATTAAGACAAATATGACAAGAATTTATATGCTGCACAGTTTTGCTACTTTCTTAAGCTGAAGTCATAATTTTGCTTAATTCAACCAAAATATCCTGAGCTTCTTCATTTATTTTTTTTACCTACTAAGCTAAATTCTGTTTGGCAATCTGATGAGTGCTAAAACTAGAGTTATTAAAGATCTTAATTACCTTTTGGCTGTTCTCCTTTCTGCTCGTCTTCTGTGACTTTCTCTACTGAAGTCTAAACTGTTTCCTTCTCTGTATAGGATCTTCCTTTTTTATGCAATAAGGAATTTGTAACTTTTTAAAAAGACAATATTTTAAAAGAGCCTGAAAAGAGAAATAGGGGTATGGGGGGTTGGGGTGAAGAGTGAGCATCTTTTCAAAACAGAATTTTTTTCTTTATGCTCAAAGCATGGATAGGTTTTATTCTCCTTTCCTTTGTTGTTAGCGCTTTAAGAAAGGCAACAAGCTATACTATGAATATTATTTATAATGATCATTATTTACCATTATTGTATTGTAAATAATGATCATCCTTTCCTCAATTTTCTTAGCTTTGAATGTCATTTTTCTCTTATGGCCACCATCAAACTCCCTGTAGTACAAAAAATCTGCTCATTTTAATAGGTGCAATCAAATCATTTTGCACATGTTTACATTTACTCTGCTATATTTTGCAACCTGCCTACTTATTGCACATACAAAAAAATTAAAATAAATGCAATTTAGCGGGTCGCATTTGGAATCTTTAAAGATGCTCTGCATGGGCTGCTCTTCTCAAAAACTTGTTCATGTAACTTGTGAGGGTCAACTCCATTGCAGAGTGAGCCATATGAGCAAAAGCATTGCTTTACAGCAATTAGAGGCCCCTACACAAGAGCCAGCTAAGATAAAATCTGTGATCTGTGTTTGTGGTGTGGAGGCTGCAGCTCCTCGGACTGGAAGAAAGAAGAGTAGTGAGAACAGCAGAGAAGATCATCGGGGCTCCTCTTCCCTCCATAAAAGACATTTCATCCCAGCGCAGCTTGTACCGAGTCCGTAACATTATTAATGACCCCTCACACCCCCACCATGGACTGTTCTCCTTGCTGTCATCTACTGTAGGAAGAGGCTTTGCAGCATTCGATGCAGGTCCAGCAGATTCTGCAACAGTTTCTTCCCCACTGCCATTAGACTGTTGAAAAAAACTCTAAATTATGTCACCAACTCTGCATCACACCGACAACGCTAAACCAAATTACTGAATATTTGCACAATTTATATTAATGATTTGAACTTCCATATCAATGCCTTTTTTGGCACCATGTCTTTTCTCCCACGCCATTCACATTTAGTCACTGCTGAACTTTATGAAATGGAAATGTTCTGAAAGCTGTGCAAAAGAAATTTCATTTCGTATACGAAATGACAATAAAGGTTGTCTAAGACTAAGTCTTAAGGATCCACTCGATCCTTGCTAAGGAAAACAGAGTACTGTGTTGTTGCCAAGGTTTCCATTATCACAGAAAAATGTCAATAGATTTGGCGCTAGACAATTTAAATTAGGGCACAAGAGAGGACTGAAAAGTCAGTAAATATAGCGATAAAAGCACTAAGTTGGCAACACTGGATCTGGAAGTTGCATGTCTAGCGCTCTCCTTCTGGCTAAAAGTTACAGTGTTGTTATCATGTTATGTCTGCCCATAGTTTAAATATTAACTATAAACATTTAAAAATAAATTAACTTTGGAGGATAAGTATTTTTTTTTTTTTTTTTTTTTTTCTAGGAATGCAGTTTATTTCTCTGTTTAAACTCTTTGCTCTTCACGCGCATGATTATAGGAGGCATGGCTTTTAAAGAGAGGAAAAGCAGGAGAAAAAAAAGGTAATATTGCAAGATCTCCTGGCTCTCTCTTTGTTTTAGTGATGTTACACATTACAGCTTTAAGAAATCATGCTATCCTTGCAAAAAGGGAATTTTGCTAAAGTGTGGGGAAACACACTTCCTGAAATGTTGCTCAGAGCGGAAACAAGTTAAAAAGAGAAGCAAGGCAGAGGAACCTTAATGAACAAAAGTGATTGGGAAAAGAAAATCCGCATGTAGCAATATTTGATAAATATTGGATTACGTTCTTATAAATAACAATGTGATGACAATTAATTTCAGTATAATTTGCACAATTTTGAATAGGATACAGACTATGACAGAGATTGCACATACATTTGGCTGAGCTGTAGAAAATATTAGCCTTATTTAGCAGATATCTACGAAACGGGGTGAAAAGTGAGACTGGCCACTCCCCTGGATGAGATGAACTTACGGTAAAATCTGAGGAGAGAAAACCACATCCTGTATTACTTTATTTTAGAAATTTATATAGGAGGCAAGTTAGAATTTTTGCTTATTCCTTTTCTGCTTTTTCGATATTGCCTTGATGGCTACACTTTAAAAATGGAGAGTATGGCCTGAGGAATCATGTTTGCCCTCTTCTGGACAACAGTGCTTTTCTCTTTGAGGGGCTCTAACACCTATACAGGTAGGTTTTTTTTTTTTATTCTTAACTATTTAGTGCATTTGTCTGTGAAAATATTTGGCTTTTATATTAAGTCTATCTTTTTTTTCACTGATAAATGCTTTTCTCTGTGAAATTGATCCTGTTTATGTATTATCTATTATGTATTGTTAGAGAAAAATTTTTTTTTTTAAATGTATACAGAAAATGTAACATTATTGAAAAGAAAAATTACTAAAAATCCTTTGTTGTGTTTTTCCTTTATATTAACAGCTGAATCATCCTTGGGAAGACCATTCTGTATCAATGGATACTGCATTACTCTTAGTGAGGGAGTAATAACAGCCGAGGCTGGACTCTGTGTTGTGATACCATGTTCCTTCAGCACTGCTTCTGGGTTTACACCAAAAAATATTGTCTGGTTCAAATGTGAACCACAGAAAAGAAAATGTTCGGAATCTGATATAATATTTCACACAAACCGCAACAAAGTTCAACCAGAATACTTAGGACGGGTTGTGCTGTTGGATCCTGATGTGAGTCGGAGGAACTGTAGCATCTTAATCAATGACCTAACCTCATTTGATTCTGGATCATATCGGCTAAGAGTTAATGGTCTTTACAATGATAAACCAGACGGATTTGCACTCCCTCAAAGCACCACCATCTTTGTTAACGGTAAGAAATGTAACTAACAAATGTGACTTCAGTTATAAAACTCATGTTTAAATATATAATGTTTTTTGGCTTACTCGTAAGTTTTAAGATTTAATGTTTTAAAAGCTCCCAACTAACTATTATTGTTTATTGACGTCTGTGTGCAGATTGCAGAAACTGCATCAGTATCTAATTAACGCACAGTTATTGCCACATTGCAGGGTCCGCCAAAGGCAGAAGCAAACAAAGCGATTGCTTAAGGCCCCAGAGCAAAAGTACAATTGATTGTTTTTTTATATATATAATTATATCTATATGATTATAGCATCAAAACACATTTCTCATGATAGAATTGAGAATTTCTTTCATCAATATATATTTAATTATACATAAATTATTACTGGTACACAGATAAGAAATAACAGTTTAAACTATTCTGAGACAAACCTATTTTATTAAAATTTATTTGATCATAATTCATTCATTCATGTATTATATTTTATTTTTGCACATTGTTGCTGCAGCTGGGAAGAAACATAACACTTTTATTGTAAATAAACTACATTATTGCTTTTAGTGATAATCGATGCTACTAATAAGACAGGATTGCCATAGCTGCACTGAGTCTGTAGTAGGTGTGTCAGTGATTTGATCATTAGACTCTTGATTGAAGGATTTAATATCAGTTGTAGAAATATAGGACCCCAAATTAAAATTTTGCTTAGTGTCCAATTGAGACTTGAGACAATCCTTGTTATGTCATTGGGAAATTGTTTATCCTGTTAATCTCCCCTGGTTTTTGTTTATTGAACTATGTGTTCAGCAGATCTAAAGCAGAAGCCCACTGTGATAAATCTCCCACTGACTGAGGGACAACCGGCCACTTTCAGCTGCACTGCCCCTGGTTTCTGCTCCGGTTCTCCTCCGGATATCAGCTGGATTTGGGGAGAAACTGATACCAACGTCACAGCAAACAACACTGATTTTAAAACTGAGAATCTGACTGAAGTCACACAGAGACACAGCTCTACTCTGACCTTGAACCCATCAGCTAAACACCACAACAGCAATATAACCTGTAAGGTCAGCTTCAAAGATAGCATAACTACAGAGGAGACTGTGAATCTGAAAGTAAACTGTGAGTACTTCAATATTTGAAAAGATGTTGATTTTCTGGAATTTCTCATGTATGAATTGCAAGTAATATAAAGGCAAAAATATGTTTAACTTATGCTTATTCAAATATGTGTAAAACCTGATCTACAGTATTTAAAGTACTCCAAATGTTTGATCGTTCAAACTGAAGAAAGCTAATTATATGTGAAAAGTGTCCTACAGGGAGTTTCTTCTTTTAAATATTTGAAAACAATAATTGTACATGTCACACCCTGTGTGGCAAGGCATAGAATAACAATGTTTTAGATTCACACCCTGAATAATTTTTGTATAGTCTGTGGTGTTCACCACCAGGTGGCATATGAGAATTAGGCTGGGCTCTGATGTGTGTGTAAGGACATGTTGTATGCAGCTCCTGTGCCTAAATTAAGGCTTATTGCAGACAGTTGTCATTGAAGCTCTTCCGTCCTGTTCCCAACTCCTGTCTATTGATCTTTCATGAAGTCAACAGTAGGAATATGGAGGACCAAAACCGACATAATCAAGAATATATGCAGAAATAAAACACTTTATGCATAGGTTCTGGCTTGGAAATACAAATCTGAATCTATACAAAATTGGAAAAAAATAAATTAGGAAAAGTAATTTAGAGGTGTGTGATGCAGAAATATCTATCTAAACGATAGGTAGAAGATGAAGTCTTAAGACACCACCCCTCCTCATTTGCATATCGATGTAGAAATGCATACAAAATTATAATAAATAGACACATAAACAAATAAGTAAGTAAAAGGATGAATGAATAAATAAATGAATAAAAATAATTCTGAGAGAGGATTCATTTATTTTTGCATTTATTATTAATTATGTCAGTTTTGGTCCTTCATAAAGGGAACTCTGTCTTGGGTAGGAAAGGTGCTCATGACTGCTCTGCTGAATCTGGACAGCCTTCAGTTTGTCAGATTAAGACTACAGCCAGAAAAAAAACGGCCAAAATTTTTTTTGCAAACAACTGAAGCTCTCCATTATAAACTCCAAATTATATTAAGGTTTTAAGCTGTATAGATCACACAGAGTACATGAGGAGAAATAATGTATATTTTTTGAACCCCATGTGGTAAGCCTTGGCTCTATGGGTATCGATCCAGGTGGCCATAAATAAATAAAACATTACAGTATCAAAAGTACTTATTTCTAATCTTAAATCATCAGAGAATGGTGAACTACATTGTATAAGAATTATAGTCATATTCCCTGAGAGAAGTGGATGTGTTTTACATTCTCTCCAATAAATAGCTTGTCAGACATTATCATCGGACCTGCTGAGAGCAGTCTGGTTAAATATCATTACACCATTTTTATCTGTATTTTAGATGTGTCTTTCTTAAAGTAATGCACTATATGGCATTAAAAAAAAAACAACAAAATGAAAACATGAAACTCTAACCTCTCAAAACCCGTTTTAAAGTGTTTACAAATAATAACTCAGAATGCATGAAAATTACACTTGTAAAATGTTTGCCAATATACACATGTTAGACATTGTTGGAAAGTGCAGATTCTCCACAATTCAACCACCTAGTTCATTTTACGGACATAGCACGCACCAAAGCACAATTATAGCAGCATGTTGAAATGTAGCATGACAAAGCAGCCACAACAAGCAAGCATGTCCTTATAACTGCTGTTAAAAAAAGACCTGTTATTTTTGAGAACTAAAAAAAACAACAACTTTAAGTCATGTTTGAACTGATGCAGCTTGGCTTGATGCAGCTTGGGTGTTTTACTCACCCAATTTTCATGTATATATTCAGAAACTAGAAGGTTTTAGCTTTCAAATAATGTATCACACATGTAATTTGGGCATACAGTTCCTCAGTTATTTGCTTTTCCATTTGGGTATGTAAAATAGCGAATTTCCCAGAAGTTATGTGGATACTAAGAGGCTAAATGACTAAAATTATATAAAAATCCAAAACTGATTGAATTGAGCTCCTGGAAGGAGCCATTTCAGACTCATTTTAAAGACAGATTGGATACAGACAAGTTAATAACAGAAAGGATGTAAATGCATTTCATTCTCACAATTACTAACATTGTAAACGGTGAAGTTTAGTATGTTTTTTTATAATTTGGAAGAGAAAAAAATATTAGACATGTTATGGTTGGGCATGTGTAAATGAGCTGATGGAGCAGATCATGCTACTGATGCAGATCATGTACACAACTGCTAGCACACTGCTAGCCCTATTTGAACAGCACTTATCACCCTAAGGTTGCTAATAAAGCTGAAGAACCCTCTTGCTGTGTGTCTGCTTCAAACATAACACACTCCTGTCTATTCTCTAGAAAGGATAACCCTCTGTTTCCTTTTATTTGCACTTGATTATAGGGTAATATGGTCCCTGCTACCATTATAAATGTTATAGACCAAATATAAATGTTATATTTATTTTAGAAAATGGATAGTTTAAAGGCATTATTCTCTTCCATAGATAAAAGAAAACCTCAGATCACTGGATATACTACTGTGAAGACAGGAGATGCTCTGAATTTGAGCTGCAATGTTGATAGCTTCCCTCCATCACTTGTTGTATGGACTAAACATTCACCAAGTGGATTTTACTTCCTAAATGACACTGGATCAGCAACACTAGTCCTGTCAAATGTGACAGCTGAGGATTCTGGTCAATATGTCTGCACAGCGACTCACTTGGGCGTCACAGAGTCTGTATACACTGAAGTAAAGGTGACTTGTAAGTAAAGTTAAATATTGAGTTCTCATGGTCATTCTTTATTTAACACTCATGAATCATATGTTTTAAGGGTTTTCCAAGATCCTGGAGGGTTCTGGATGTGTGCTTCAGTCAGAGCTCCTAACCTGTGTTTGCATCAGTGAGGGGTTTCCTCCACCCACCATATCATGGCCACAGCTGAAGAACCATACCGAGTACTCTGTCCTTAACACAGTGTCAAACTACACTGTCAACACCACGCTCACCATATACAGTAAAACCTTCAATTATAGCAGTGTTGAATGCCACAGTAGCCATGAAAATGGAGAAGCAAAAGAAAAGCTCAAGGTCGAACAAGACTTCTCAGAAAAAGAAGGTAAATTTTTCCAGCTGAGGACTTCTGCTTCCTATGAAATCTTCTTCCACATTTTTAATTTCTACCTGTAACCATTGCAGCCACTTACAAACAACGATTCTATATGAATGATGATAGTTGAGCTTGAAACTGTTTTCTCTGTCTCTCGTTTTTTCCCTAAGCAGCCATTAAATCCAAAACAATTTTAGGAACAGTTCACTGGCTTGAAGTCACTGTTTCCTTCCTGATTGGGGTTCTGCTTTCAGCTGCCATTTGTTGTTTGGCTGCACGATGCAACAGGTACATTGTTGTACTTTAAAATAATTTTGGTGTTATGCATGTTTAAAAAATTTTTGTACATATTCAGATAAAGACCAATTTTTCGCCACATTTGGAGAAAATGGATGGATGGATGGATGGATGGATGGATGGATGGATGGATGGATGGATGGATGGATGGATGGATGGATGGATGGATGGATGGATGGATGGATGGATGGATGGATGTGGGTGTGCACATTTATAGAGATCAGAGTGAGGACCATTTTTCCAATTTGACCATCACAATGAGGACTAGTTGTAGTAAAGTGAGGACATTTTGCTGGTCCTCACACGTTTTTTTATCAATAGTTAGGTTTAGTAAGGCCAAGGTGTCAATTGGGAGAGGGTTAGAGTGAAGTAGGCATTGGTAATGGTTAGGTTTGGGTTTAATGTTAGGGTTAGGGCATAGAAAAGGTTGAAAATGACTGAAAATCTATGGAAGTCCATGGAAATCAACACATGGTCTTCACTACAAATCGCAGGAGAAACATTTGCTGGTGTGTGTGCATGCCATTCTTCATGAGACAAATGCTAAATCCATCTTCATCTTCTCACTTCAGTTATTCAGACAGGTTAATTTGTCTTCCCAGATTGTTGCTGCTTTAAAAACATATTTCTCCTCAGGAAACAACAGAAGAACTCTGAGAAACTGGAGGAAACAATGAAGATGATCTCTCAGGCAGATCCACTGGTATCTATCTTTGCAAATCTTAATTTAATAATGTCTTTTCAGTTAACGTAATCTGAAAATTAACTTAGGGGACTCATGAATCAGTTTGTGGTAATCCAAATGGGACATAAAGTAAATAATACACTAAGCTGTTTCTATTAATATTTGATATATCCCCTTTTTATAAAAGCACAATGTTTGAATATGTGATCATGGCTCAACAGCTGCGTTAGGCTATGGATTTACATCAATATTAGGGACTGTAATATAAACTTAGTTGCTCTCTTTTGGTTCTAACAATCATATGTTACTTTTGTACAAGTAACAACATGACATTATCAGTGGTTGTACATAAGGTAATGGCTGTGAAACAGATGCTCTTTAAAAGGGATGACATAACTTATAATCTAAAGTAAAATTAAGGTTTGACATGAAACCATGTCTGAACACTTACAGCCTTTTTAGAACTTAGAAAATGTTTGTAGATAAATATAAGAAAAAGGAAGCAGTTATTTTGACTTCAGTCAATGTAGTAAGGGCTCTGCGTGAGTAATAACAGTCATGTATTAAAGCTGATTAGACTATACTAAACACTTTAAAATTGCTAATGAATAATATAGTGTTAGTGAACACAAAACATTGCCTGTTTTCTCATAAAATTTGTATTTGACACCCAGTTTCTCCCTGTTCCTGACAGGTCGACGATGTTAAACCAGTTCAGAATAACATAACCAATGTTCAAGAGGAAACTGAGAATGTTGCCACGGTTACAGAGAAGTCTTCTTTGGAACTCAGCAGTGGTCCACAAGATGTGCTTTATGCCAGTATTGATTTCTCTAACCTGAAGAGGAATTCAAGAGCGGTAGCAAAGAGAGAGAGCACATTGACAGAATATGCGGAAATTAAACAAGAGTCCAAAGAGCAAAGGAAAGACAGTAGTGAAGATGCAAATATAGCATTGGAAGACAAAGAGGAGGACCTGATAATAAAACAAGATGAGGAAATAACCCAGTGTGTCTCAGAGGGGCAAGGAGGAGAAGTGGAGGCAGTTTACTCCACTGTGAAAGATATTTTAGAGGAGGTCTAAGAACTTTGCTAATTAAAATAATAAATACTATATTATTCTGTTGCTTGTTACCTTTCTGGAGAGCTTTTCTATGGCTTGCAGGCCTGGCAGACAGCTGCTGTGCTGTCCTCACCTCTGGGACATTTGTGAAATGGAAGAACTGCTTATTTTGTTATTCTTTTAACAATTATTGGTATTTTTCAGTAAAAAAAGATTAACTTTACTTAAACAATAAAAAGATCGTACAATTTCTGAATTATTAAAATTTTATCAGCTTATAAAGCAAAAATTAAACAAAAAAATTACTAAGGGTTTGGTTGAATATATTTCAATTAATAAGGTAGTAGGAAGCATAGCTAATTACCTGTTTAGAAATGTAATGTATAGAAACAGCAGGACAGTTGTTAATATGATCCCTTCTGACCGAGCAGACTCGTCTTAGTTTTATTTTACAGAATATACAAAGTTGGGCTGACTGGATGCTACATTTAGACAACTGTGGTCAGAAAATGTATTCTCCTTTTAATTCCCTTTTACATAAACTGATTTTATGAGGGCTGATTTTACATTATAAAAGCAGTCATTCAGGCCTCGGAGGCTATGAGGTGTCTAAGGGAGAGGAGTTGTTTGATCTATTAGGGAGTATTTGGGTTAAAAATAATCCTTATAACAAGCTAGACGTTTTCTCAGGGTTTATTCATAAGATTTTTCTGTTTTCTCCAACTATCTGTAATTTTTTATGATTCATTGTGCTCTGGCAACCTTTGCAGCCTTTCCATAGGGTTTAAGTTAGTGAGAGGAACTGTTGTCTAACCAGAATAGGGCAGAACATCGACCTGGAAGGTTTACTGTCTTGCTCTCTCTTTGCAAAAAGGATAATAAAATGCTGACTGAGTGAATTACCATCTATCTCCTTTAACTGGATTGCATAGTTGAATACTTTTTCCCCACAACAGTCCCTTTCATCAGTGTAGCTGCACCTATCACCTAATAGAGTCATCATGCCATGTCATCATGTATATTTTCAGTAAGAAAAACAAAAAACATACTGTTACATTTATTCATAGCAATCTCTGTGTCTTTTCTAGCTTATCTGAGGGTTCCTGAGTCTACCCCAATGTTTAATTACCTTCAACCAAACTTCCATTAAAAGTTTTATCCCAACTGAATGACCTCTAGGCCTCCTTTTTCAGTAAACCTTTAAACTTAATTTGTTGTGGCGTGATCATGTTACTAATATATATCAAACAAGCAGAACAGTTCAATGAACATTTTTCTTCATCAATATAGTTCAGTCATCATGATGGGGTTTTAATTCCGTTAGTATGTGAGGGTCGAGATTTAGTGAACCACAAGCATTAATTTATTACCAACATACTAATAAACAAATAGGAAAGGTGTAAACGTATGCTAATCCAAATATTTACACTATTTAAATTAAACTCTGTGTGAATAAACAATTGTAATTTTGAAGGAACAGAATCAAACTGTGAATGAAAATATGCTTTTATTTTGAAAGTACAGTCTATAAATAGAAATAAAGTCTTTTTTACAGCTTCTCCTGAACTAACCTAAGCAAAGAGATTAAAGAAGCTCAGTGAGAACTTTAGCAAACCCCTAAAACCTGTATTTGATAACTGTGTTTTAAAGCCTCAGACTTCTATACATCTGCTGAGTTTCTCCAGTTGAAGAAATGTTGTTTTGCTTATGGCCATCTGGGTTAAAGGTAACATTATAGTGTTGCAATGTAAGCAACAGAAATGTATAGGTTTGGCTTCTCACACAGTAACAGTAAAATAAAATGCACAATGTATTTATTCTACTTTCAATTATGAAGATTATTTCCAACCGGGTGCTCTTAGATGGATCGGTCTTATGCCAAACCTTTGGGCAGAAATTACAACATTTTGTAATGGCATGAAAATAGAGCAATATCTATTACTGAAAAATGTCATATTGTATTTGAAGAAATAAGAGCTTCTGCTTTTTGAAGTTCCTCAAGTTTTCCCTAATTTGTTAATCAAAATTATTGTACCTCACGCGATCCATTTAAAGTCAACAGTTAAACTAAGTAAACTGTTTGGACTGTGGATTAAGAGAAAGAGCCTGGAAGTCGAGTTTCACATGCCAGCACCACACTAAAAGGCCTAAATGTATATATATATATATATAGAGAGAGAGACAGAAAGGTCCATAAAAGTCCACAAAAAACGTGTCAATATTCCTCCATACTGCTCGTCCAAAGTATTCCAAGTTTCCTGAGTGGGTAGCATCCAGAATTTACTCGAAACGAAGTCATTTAGAATGTTTTTAGAGCATAAACAGTAGTGTATAGGATTTCCTGAAAGCGCGCACATGCGCGCTCACGACGCTACGGAAGCCGGCAGTAAATTCTGGATGCTACCCACTCAGGACACTTGGAATACATTGGACGAGCAGTATGGAGGAATATTGACACGTTTTTTGTGGACTTTTATGGAGCTTTCTGTCTCGGTCACCATAGACCTCCATTATTTGAATGTCAGCAGACAGCAAGAAGCCTCCCAGATCTCCAGATGCATTTGAGATATCAAAAAAGTACTCCAGAGTGTTGTTCAGCATGGGGGTGAGTAGAAAATGAAGGCTAATCATGTTTTGGGTGTACTATTCCTTTAATGTCCTCAGAACTTGGATTCTGATTGGGTTGTTAATTGCAGGCATTAGTGCACATTTGGCAATAAAATTTGATAAAGGCTTTGAAAGACAATTTTGACTGTCCAACTTTAAATCAGTATTCTCTTTCAGGATTAGCTGTTATTTTAAATCTCCTTGTATTTCACACTATTTAATTATCTATTTTGATAATTTCTTATATTTCAAACCGAAGTTGGTGTGAATTTATTCTATATGTGAAGAATTGACTGTTTGATTATGATTTGAGCTTGATTCACAGTCTCATCTGTTGGCCTAATACAACCAATTAGATGTGTATTCACAGAACAGCACATGACAGTTCAAAAGTTATCTAATAAATAGTAACTAGCATATGTATATCATTATTACATTGCCCGGGGGTGAGCATTAAATACAACAATCTTAATGTCTTTTTGACGGAATATCAGTTATTACTTCGTGGAAATCACATGCCTGAAAACTACTTTCATACTAAAAAAGCTCTTAAACTGGAACGGTCTTTTCTGACCAGCAGAAAGGGAGATGAAAATACTGATGAACAAATTCTTCATTGTTTGATATGTATTTAGATGTAACTGAGAATCCCTGCATGTTCTTTGCAAGGCTGCTTAGTTAGATGCTGATTAGATGTAGTTTGCTGTGTTTTTTTTTTGCACCTGAATAACTTGTCTGACTCACACAAGTTATTCTCACATCTTTGAGCACCAGTGCCCTCTGGTGGATACTCTGATTTCACATAGCCACATGTTATTTTTGCATAAATAAGTTATGATGAAAATTAAAAAGCAGTTATGAACTGCTGTTGAAGCCACGAGCAGTCTTTCTGACCGACTGTTTACAGAAAAAATAAAGTGGGATTCAATTTTTTGTTAAATCCATTTAGTCATTTTATTCACTTTCTGAAGTAAAATTAACATGTTTATGTGTTATATTTTTCTTAAGTTGCAGTAACGATGCATCTTCCAGATACCAAAATCATGCAGCAATAACACAAACAGTTGACATTTATCAGTTTTCTAAATACAGATTTTTGAAGTTTCTCACTTTAGTTTATGTGTGTGCATGGGTGTTTGTGTGTTCTTGTTTTTAATTAATTGTGGGGGCCATTGTCTGGCAAAATATCATGCTGTGGGGACCGAATGTTCCTTGTTGACCCAATGCCTGGAATCCAAGAGTGGAATTGTTGTTTTTGGGTCAGGGTTCTAGGACTAAGTTGAGAATTGAGTTTAGGTGGGAGTTAGAGTCAGGTATTAACCTGTAATGGAACTGTAATTGGAAAGGCCCAGTAAAGATGTTAAGACAAGTTTGGGTGTGTGTGGGTGTGTGTTAGTGTTAAAGTTGGTGGTTAGATTTTTTTTTGACAACTAAAATATATATTAGTATGCCATTTATTGATAACAGCAGTATTTTCTTCTGTTGGGAACCTTTTTCTTACACAAGACAAAAGACAGGATTGGTGTAATTCTTTTTTTTTTTTAGCTTTCAATAATCTTTACAAGTTCTTTATCTTTACAAGTATTCTTTATTCTTCTTCCAAATTTCAAATGCAAATGAAACTAAGATTACTGATTAAACTACAGTAAAGGTAAATATGAACAGCCTTGTCACTACGTGGCAGCGAAGTTACAGGGTGACACTTAAGCACCTCTACAGTTTGAGATAACTTAATCCATAATATAATTTCCAGGCCTTCAGGTTTTAATATGTAAATGCCAACATATGACTGAAATGATCTTGGCATCTTTAGCCTGGGTTTTTTGTATTTATGCTCTGCTCAAATTATTTCTTTCAAATAATTATTTCAGGGAGATGCTTATCGCAATCTTTACTTACTGCAACAGCAATGTCCACCTCTCCCTCTTCGGTTTTTTGAAAGAACGTGTTTATTTTGGAATGTTTTTTCTGTTCTTCCAGCACCTCTTCTTTCCTTTTTCTTTTCTGGAATCCACTTAAGTACCTCTTTTTGGTATCCATTGTTGCTAACACATTGTACGTAGCAGTTATGGTTTTAATCTACGCTCTGGGTTACCCATAATTCCAAGTTGTAGTGTAAAAAATAAAATACTCAAATACATTGTTCTTTTAAGATCTATATTGCAGTTATACGGTCCAGTGCGGTTAGTCCCTTTAGTATCAGGTGGATTTAAGAGAAAATGTTCGCACCATTAAATCTGCAAAAAGACGTCCTACTCTACAATTGCCTAGGGGGCCAACCAGGTGTCAGTGAAGGGGCCCCTAAGAGGTTGTGGGCTCGTAAGCAATTGCTGTCTCTGCTTACAGATATTTATGCCATTAATCCAAGTCCACAAAGAAAAACCCCTGCTTTGTTTTCCTTCATAGCGTTC